AACCCCAGCAGGCAGCTCAGCCCCACTGCTCGCTCACTCTCCCCCAGTGGGATGGGGGAAAAAATCAGGAGGGGTTTGAGGTACTGACCAGTACAATGTGCTTACTAATTAGTCACCTTCCTGAGCTGATTTGACTTGAGTGATAATAGCCAGCTTGTTGAGACACGTGGTTGGAATTCTTGGGCAGGGGCATGGTAGCTGGTAGGTACCTTCCTCTGCACGTTCAGTGAAGTGGTGACCATAAGGCATCAGAGAAATAGGTTCTAAATTCATGGTTATAAGCCTTGGTTTCCCTGCAGGCCCTTTGGATAGGGAACATAGTTCAAATGAGGAAGTGGCAACAAGGCGGGGGGTGGGTGGGGATATATAGTAATATCTTAAATTGCAAGAGCAGAAGAAAGGAACCAGGGTTTCTGGTACTTGGCAAAAAAAGACAGTGCTTGTCTGTGTGTAAGTAAATTTGCAAATTTAAGAATTGACAAAAATCATTAATGCGGGAGGAATCGATACTGAGCTCAATGCAGAGCCAAGACAAGAGGGGTGGAGGAAGGAAGGAAGCAAGTACACGTGAGCTTTATACCCAACTGCTGCGGCCTGACTCGGGGGGCGGTTGGTCTGCGACAAAGGGGTGTGGAAGAAGCGGCATTAGCTAGGGTTACCGGGTCAGATCCACTGCTTCTGGACTTCTAGCAGAACAAAGGTCATGGCAGAATTCCTGTAGATGGCTTACGGGTTCAGTGGATGGATGATTGATCAGTTTTCCCTCTTTGGAAAAAACATGCTATTATTTTTGGCTTGCTCTCTTCTATCTAGAAGATGGACCCTAGTTGTTTCAACACATGCAGAGCTAGTTACCCAGAAACTGACACTGTAACATGGTATTTATGACAATACTATTTGTGACATTGTAACATGGCATTTGTGACAGTGTGACATAATATTTGTGACAATGTAACATAGATGGGAACGGAGGTCTGCAGCTCTCAAAAAAAGGTGATATGTAACATATTGTGGTTTAAGACACAAACTATTTTTTGTGCAAATTGCATATATTTTCTTTTTTTAAAAGTCCTTATTATACTTCAGAATTTTCTAAAAATACAGAAGATGCCCTGTGTGACAGGTTTAACTTACATGTTCAATTTTTTTTCCATTTCTCTCTCTGCATATTACACAGCTGTGGATTAGTCTGGATCCCAGTGTTTTTGTGGTTTTGAGGTTTTGTTGAGGTTTTGTTGTTGTTGTTTTCTGTTTTGTTTTGGTTTTCTTTTGAACCTATGTTTAATTGAAAGAATATAGTGGCTTCACTTCTAAATCCCTAATTCCACTCATCTAGGGCTTAATTTTACATGAGCTTTTGAAAATTAATGTTTACAATAATAGACTTCAAAGACTTCAAATTTGGCTGATCATAAGGGGGAAAGTTGTGCTCTGGTTCGTGTCTATATTCTTACTTTTGCAGGTAATATTTAAGAATTTAAGTTTCCACAGGGCACACTCCATTGAAGTAATGAAAGTACCTTACATCATCTTGGGCTCAGTCTTACTAAGACTTACATGCACCAACTTTATACACTCACAGAAGGGTTTGGGTTGGAAGGGACCTTAAAGACCATCTAGTTCCAACCCCCCTGCCATGGGCAGGGACACCTTCCACTAGACCAGGTTGCTCAAGGCCTCATCCAGCCTGGCCTTGAGCACTTCCAGGGAAGATACAGTGAGATACTACACTAGGGTACCACAAAATTTGGCAAAACACACTTTAAAAGGCTTTATGCTTGCAGACCATACAGTAGTACTGAATTATTCTAAAGTCAGAGCACTACCTACAGCATGAGGACATAACTAAAAGTTCAGTTTCCTTGGCTTTACAAGGCCTAATGTTTTCTGTACCATAAAATGAATAACATTAATCTCTATCAAACATTTGTCAGGCATCTTCATTCTTTGATGGCTGAATGTGAAGACATAATACGAGTTATCAGTTGATGGAGTTGCCTGAGGAGTGCCAACACACTGTGCATAGATTTCATTACCTGGCATTCTGTGCTTGGAAGAGTACACAGTTTGGAAGGGAAGCAGCCGCTCACAGTCAGGCTTAGCTTAGGCAGGACTTCAGAACAGTACCAATTGCACAGCGTGCTTCTCTATCTGCTGATGCTCTGAGTGATTAGGCTGCTATCTAAGTTTATGTTGGCACAGGCAGGAATTGCTTATCACAAATACAAAAGGAAATTAAAAAGCCACGAAAACAAATATGTTGGATTTTTAAATTTTGGGTTGTGTGGCTCAAAAAATGTATAGAAAATATGTAGTTACAGAAAAGTAATACGTCTCAGAGACAATCCTTTTTCTGTCATTTTCTTTGTTCTGAAATGTCATTAGATTGGGCTCATATTTATTTTCTCAGAAGACTGGCCTCTGCCAGCTTCCTGCTTTTAGCAGTATGTTACTAGAGTGCCTGATAACAGTAGCACAGTTATAGCCATGTGTGCTTGGCTGCATTACCCCCGTTGAAGGTAATCATTGGCTTTACAAGATAAATGCATATCAATCTACTCATGCCTTTTAAAATAAGACCAAAATCAGGATTTTCAATTCAGAGCTCAGTTTAGGTGAAACACAGTTTTTACAAGAAGTTGCTTCTGTGCTTTATTTAAAAATGCGTGGTTCTGACTGCTGATTAGTCTTGAGGTTTTTTTGTAATGTCTGCAGTCGAGCCCAGGGGAATTTAGAAGGAGGAGATTAATTTTATATCTTAGTATCTTTAGAAAAATTATGTAAGAAACTACTTTGGGTTGCCAATTCATGACTTCAATAACATTTTCTAATCCCAAGACTTGTTATTACTATCGAGCAAGTGACCCTTCTGAACGAGCTAGACATGTCTACTGCTTTGTCAGTCCTAATGATGTGTCACTTCCCAGCTTCTTCACTGCACATCTTTTATTAATTAATTAATGTGGATAAATGCACCGAACATGCAAACAGGGATCATAGTAACTGACAGGCGTAAGGCCAGCAGGCGTGCTTCTGAGACCAAAAGGGTCTGGCTGTGCTGAAGGGCTGTGTGATCACTGATGGGGTTGGTAGCAGAGTAGTCGTTACTACATGATTCTGGCTTTCACTTTCTCACACCAAACCCATATATTTTTAAAAACAACTACCAAATCAGATAAGTACAAATAATTGTTTAAAGTTTCTGTAAATGTTTTATGTGGCCTATCATATACATGCCACCCTTTCTTTTTCTTCACATAGAAATAAACTGGTGAGGAGAATAATTCTGTAAACTTTAAAGCACAGTAGATAAAGGACATGGAGTTCTGGTTTGGGGTGTGGGTTTTTTTTTTTCTTCCCCTTCACTGTATGAAGACGTTCTGAAGAACCCTCTTAAATTTGTTGACACTTTGAGCTGAGATTCCATATATTCTAATGACGGACAAATACAGTATATTTATTTAGTGTAGCATAAGAAGGAGGAACTAGAAGATTGCCTAGATTTGAGACTCTGAGGGGATAGAAAACTCTCACAAGGGAAGTAGTACTTGTCTATTTTTTTCTGGGATTGTTGCTAGAGAAACTTAAAAGAAATACAGTATAACAAATAGTACACTGTTGTGGATCTGTTGGCTAGTGCTTACAAATCTTTTCTACTTTCTATCAAAATAAGTATTAAAAATTATTTTTAAAGCTTAGCTGTGTTAGATGATCTATCTTAGTATGACAGTTTGTAGTTTGTTTATTGATCCTTTTTTTTTTTTAATCTGTATTAATGACTCATTACTTGCATTCATTTTTCATCTTTGTATAGCTGTAGGATAACACTTTACCTTAAGTTTTTTGGTCCAACTTTGTCCTATTGCAAAAATGAAACAAAAATCTAAGCAGACCACTGGCTGAGAGAATCAGTTATGAGGCAGATAGGGTGGCTTTTTTTCTGGAAAAGAGGACTGGTTCCAAGAGGCTCCAGGGTCAGTGACCACACCACATTACTTGTGGACAACTTCAGGTTACTAGCTCCCGGGCAGCAGTGTACTGAGGTAGCCAATGTATTCAGTTCTGGCTCGGTTTACTTTTCAGGGTCATGTAAATTCCTGTGATAGTTTGACTCCTTGCATTCTGCTAAAATCTGTACCTATTCCTTCTTGAGAGTTATATTCTCCTTGTACTGTGTTCAGGACCTCAAAGCTAATAGCAGCCCTGGCATGGGATCGAAGAAAGGGTTAAGTGCAGGGGTTGGAATGTGACGGTTTGGTTATAGCTGAATTATGGGGATCTGCAAACTTCAGAGCTAAACAGGAAATATCTGGCACCAGGGTCTTTTTGCGAATTAATCAAAGTAGATTCCTGTAATTAAACATTCACAAAACAAAATACATGGCTTTTTTTTCTCTGTTATCCTAAGAAATCTTCAGCTGTATCCCTCACTGCTTTATGTATGGGATAGTTGCTACGATTATGGATCTCAAATGATCGCTGACCCTACTGGAAACTTCGTTTAAAGCTGTCTAAAACTTGAGACTTGTCATACAGAAATAGTGGAGAGAAATACATTCAACAAAATTTTTGGGAAAACCAGATTTGCTCTGGAAGGCACACTAGTTCCTTAATCACTTTTTCAATTTTAAATACTTCTGTTTTGGCACAGGATTTTTGCTTTAGGATTTTGCTGCCTCATTATGGGTGGAGGGTATCTCTAGCACTGAAGAATAAAATAGCATGTTTATTTTGCCAACAGCTGAAGCTTGTTCTTCAGAGAGGGGATAAAATGTTGCATTACTTGACGTTCCACTGTCTTGCATGCTATTCTTGTTCTAAGCCAGGATGGAATAAATTGACATCTGCAGTTTTACATTTGGGATAATGTTTATGTCTGTTCCAAACTTATGGAGAGTGTGTTTGAGTGCCTAATTATTATTTGATAGTTCTGTTTGATAGCCCGTTTCAGTGTTTAGAGATGGACTTTCAGTAGTGTTCTCTTTGTCTGCAATTTGTAGACGGTCTGCTGTAGCCCGCATTCAGGAGCTCTTCAGAAGGAGGAAAGAAAGAAAAGAAATGGAAGAACTGGAAACGTTGAATATTCGACGTCCTTTAATAAAGATGGTGTATAAAGGTCATCGGAACTCCCGAACAATGGTACAAACTCTTTTTCTGCTTTGGGAACCGTAGAGATTTCCTGGGCTGAATGAATGTAGCTGCTGCAAAAGCTGTTTGCCAAAAAGGGCACTGTAATGTAGTGTAAGCACTTTTTCTCATATATTCAGTGGGAAGCCATATAATTTGATCTAAATGACAATTGAAATTACTGTGACTAATGTGTCACCACGTTAGGCATTTACATTTTCTTGAGTATAAGACTCTCTCCCCTTAACCTCCTTTGAAATCTCAGGTATTTTTCTTCTTTTTAATTTTGTGTGTCAGCTTAAGTGGTATAAAATGTGCCTACCTTCAATATCATGATTTAGTCCTCATGGCCCTTCCAAGATCTTTAAAGGTGGAGATTAAATAATAATTTTGAACAGCTTGGAAGGGAATGTGAGGATTAAATAATTATTTTTGAAGAGCTTTGACATCTCTGAATTAAAAAAAAAAATACTGCTAGTTATTAAATCATAATGTAACCACTAGATATTCTGTCTTTTTCATACAAAACACTATTTTAAGAAAAATGCAGTTACAGTGTTTGTAAAGCAGTGGTGCATCAGAAACAAATGCTGGTTTCCTTGCTATTTTTTTTTTCCTTTTTACTATTTTTTGAAGATACTGAGGAGTACAGGTGTATTATTTTGCAGATCATTGGAGGAGTAGCTCCTCTACGTCCAAAACCAATTTTCTAGAGTCTCTGTGAATGGCTTTGATTATACTGGTGAAAGCACTTCAGTAAATGCACATTTCAGTATACATAAACAACAAAGCTTAGAATAAACTTTGACTAATGCTAAGGAGTTTTGCACTGTGTTTCAGAAATTAATTTTGATTGCTCAAAACCCCATTAGTTTAACAGTCCTAGCATCTAGCACTTTGTAGTTAGGCAGTGTTAAAACTAATCTTGCCTAAGTGGTCTTAATTCAGTCTCCATCTGCCTGTGTGGATGGATAATAATACAGGTTATTCCAGGGATTTTGTTGTTTGGTTTCTTTGGGATGTGGGTTGGTGGTTTTGCTTTTGTTTCACATGAGCACCTACGACAAGGAATGCAAACAATGGAAGATGATGTAATTTTTTCCCTGTTGATTTCTGTGGTTGCCAACATCAGCTTAATAATTTTTCTTTTTTTTTTGTCAACACCCTCTTTCCTTCAAGATGGGAGCTGATGGTATTTCCCTTCCTTTATATTTGTGAAGGGGACAGCTCAGAGAGGTCTTGTTTCCTACACACCTCAGCAGCCAGGGATAAAGTTGTCTTATTAATTACATGAACGTGAACTGTTTTAATACATTTATATATGTATATATTTTTATATATGTGTATATATATGTATGAAGAGTGAATTAAGGTTATGCAAGCAAATTGAATAATTGCGGTACTTCCTTACTTTTGAGACCTTAATTTGGCAACCTTGCAATTTTTTTACTAAGCGTATTTTAAGTGTCATACTTACATTGTCAGACAGAAAAAGATAAGTAGCATTATACTGATGTTTGCTTGTGCCATTGGCAGGGGTGGAATGTTTTTTACACCCAGCACGCAGATTCCTGCCATGTAACCAGTCAAATGATATCATTAGTGTACTGGGTATAACCATATTTTCCTGAAACAGACATGAAAGCACGGCAGCAGGGGGAGTGATGGTAGTGGAATGGTGCAGCGTGGCATTTCTTGTTTCTCTTTAGCTCTTGGGGTGGGGGAAGGAAAATGCTCTTGTGAGCCCAAAATCCCTTTCTTTTTCTTTAAAATTTGTCTTTTGCCATGTGCCTTCAGTTCTGTGTCTCCTGTCTCTTCCTCACTATTTTTACCTCCAGCCCTAGTCGTCTTTCATACACATGCTATTCTTCCTCTATTCTACTCACCCTAAGTCCTGAGTCCCTTTTTTAAAATGTTCACTTTGAAGAAGCTTTTCATCAGTAGAGCATGTGTACACACCTGATAAATGGGATGTTGTGTATGCCTGCAGCAGAATTGAGACTGTGTATGAGTTTGAAGGCAGAATTTTTAAATACGAATTTCAGTTCTGTTAATTTGTGGTGCTAAAATTAGGTTTCGTGAATCTTAGAAATGTAAAATCAGCAGGTACATAAGAGAATACAAATGAAGCAGGAAGAAGTCATAATTGATAATTAAAATATAAGGTTATTTATTATTGGAGATAATTTAGATGTACTTCTAACCGGATAATGAAAACTATCTATTAAGAGGGAGTACAGACAAAAGCTGCCAAAAGGTGAATATATTGGAAATATGTCTTTCACTACAGAATCCAGGAATGCAGTTTCTCTGGCTTATTTTTAGACATCAGGATGACTATTGCACTGGCTGTAAACACTGGTACATAGTCTATAGACAAAGATCTAGCAAGTCTGAAATTTAAAACTGGACCCACTCATGCTGGAAATAAAGTACATAATTCTAACATCAGTAAAGGTTCAGTTTACTAGTATGACTCTCTCATGGTGATTTTTAAATCAAGATGGCTGGAGAAAAGCACGGAGCAAGACAATGTCTCTGTCCTTTTCTCCAGTGCATTTTCTGAGAAAACCATGCAAAAAGAAAGATAAGGATGCAGGCACTGTCCTCTTTAGAGCCTTGTTATGATGTGTCATTTGGAAAACAATTCCACAGTAGGAAGCAGTGTAAATGGTCTCAAGGTCAAAATTCTGTCCCTTATGCTGGAGTTATTCTTAAATACCACAAATTAGGAAATTACTTTATGCTGAACTTCAAACATTGGACATCATCTGTGTGAACTCTGAAAACTGGCACATAGGAAACTTCTGTTTACATAGGCATCTCTTTTGCCCAGTATATGTTGCTTTTAAGGACTTCAAAAGAGTTACTGGTAACTGTTCAAAGTGTTATCTTGCATGTAAGATTACATTTTTAACTTTCAGACGCTTTTCTCTAGCACAAACATTGTGATATTGTGGAGCTTTCAGGTCTTGTAATTGAGTTTTGACTGTTAGCGCAGGCAACGGCCCTCCTCCCTCTGCCTCCCCATCTAACCTCTCTCACCCTATACATGATATAGGACAGCAATGGAGGAAGGTACTGCTGCCGAGCCTCTTCCTGTTTTTAAAAGTTTAATTATGGTTATTTTGATGTCTTACTCTGAGTAAAATCACAAGTGATTTCCGAAGAAGATTCTGTTCATTAGTGTGGGACCCATTCTTGTTTGCTCAGACAAATTTTCTTAACTGTTTGGTTTCATTTGAGTTACATCTTTTCAGGAAGGGAGGGCAAGAGAGACCTTGCCGTGCAAAGATTATTCTACGTTTAATAAACCCAATAGTTGCTTCTTGAAAAAAATATTCTAGGGTGGCTTTTTTTGTCTCAGAAATTGAACAAGCCACATTCTTTCAGGCTGTAATCATAAGGGTATCTTGAATGGAACAGCTGTAGAATAATATCAGTGTTGTTTTTCAAGGAAATGGATATCTGGTACTCCTGCCACTTTTTCCTGGCCTGCAATTCCTGTCATTTATGCGATCATTTTCATTGTAATCCTGCTCTGTTTCACAGGACACACTGCCTCAGCTGCCAAAACTCATGAGATTGCAGATCAGTGAAACACTCAAGGAGGCTTGGATTTTCCCACTGAATTAGTAAATTCACAGTTAAAATACAGCATTTACTGTACAAATAATTACTTATTTATAAGTTTAAGAAACAAAAATAGTATAGTCTGATATAAATAGTAAATATATTAGTATATTACTATGTGTAAGTGTTCATCAGATCATACATTATTCTTATGATCCTATGACACTGCCATGTTTTGGAGAGAGGGTTGGAAACAGAGGCGAGAAAAAAGTTCAAGTTTACCTACTCCCTTGTCTCCCAACGACTTTTTCAAGTCAAGTACAGGTCAAGCTGGCTGTCATGTCATGGACTGTATCTGCTGTTGTCTTTAATTCTCAGAATCAGGGACAAGACAGTCTGATCATTTTGAGGAGAGAGATGGTCACTTCACTTTGAGTCATGAATATTTATGGAGCTTAAGGCATTTGAATACCTACTGCATTATAGCACTTCACACAAGGAAAGGGAGATAGGTGATGTAATAAGCTAATATATAGTATGTTAGCCTAAAGGATGAGCATACTGTTCCCTAAACCCCCTTTTTGCTTTTAATTTGCCTTTTCTTTGCCGGGGAAGAAAGGCAGAGCACGACAGCCGGTACCATCTCTGCTGAGACGGTCCCCCTGCTCCAAGGGGAGCCTTCCGTCAGCATCCCTTAGCGCTGGCAGGGCTTCCTGGAGAAGCTGCCAGCAGGGAAAAGCCTAAGTGCACGCTGTCAGTGTCACTTCACTGACTGCGAGGCACCGCAACGAACCGTACAGTTGCGGCAAGGGGTGGCTGGTTTTCTGGAAGCTTCTCAAGGACCTTGGGTCATTCAATACCCTCGAGTCAGTGGCACGTCCAGCCCAGTTGTGTTCGCTCACAAACGGATGGGCACATTTTAACTCGCAATGCTGTGTTTGGGAATTCCCTCCTATCTTTCTGGTTTATGAAAATTCTTGAGTAATTTGTGCGTCTTTCAAGTAAAAATGATTACCGTGCTGTTCTCAGAGGTGTGTATAATTTTCCTCCTTCAAATGTGCAGTTCTCCCATCAGAGAAGTCGTCTTTCTGTATTGTAATTGCAGCCAATTATAATCCAAGGTGAAACTACTGTGTTATCACTAACATTATGGAGGAGTTAGCGGTAGGCTAAAACCAAAGATCATCCATTTTTGATGAGTGGTTTAAAAATTAATACTATTTGTGTGATGCTAATCCAGTCAGTTCAAAGCAAAGATCCATAAACTGGCCCAAGAGGCAGCCCTCAAACAACTCACTGCCTTTGCAAGATAGATTTTTATCTTGCTCTCTAAATTTATACATGGCAATATGCGTTATTTAAATTAAAAAAGAAGTCCATGTGGGCAGTGTAGTGCACGTACTCTTTGCTGATAGCCTGGGAACGCTACTGAGACGTGACATGTCTCAGCCACATCGCTTCAAACATTTTGCAAAGGTGCTTGGATAACTCAGCGAAGTAATGGTGGGAACAACCATATGGAATGGAATGAATCATCGCCGTGGCAAGAAAACTCTATTATTGATTCCACTTGCAGGGAGAGATGCTGCTATTTTCATCTGCTCTTACTGTAACAGCTGAAGCTGAAGGGTCTCTTCTGCCTGGATGCCTGCCTTGTTCCGTGGCTCGTAACTTTAATTCTGGCCTTGGACGAAGAAGTCTTAGTTCTTATCTGATTAATTATGGAAGGAGGAGAAAAAAACCCTAAGTTTGATTTCATGACCCCTTTTTATCTGTCAGACCCAGTTAATTCCCAGCTCCCCCCAGTTTCCATGAGCTTCTGTCTTGTGTCCTCTTCCTCTGTAAATGGAAAATCCCCACTCGGGATCAGCCTGTCATGCACTTTAATTTACTGAACTCTTCCCAAAAACTGTTTCGCATACCCCTTTCTCCAGTATCACTCCTGTCACTTTGGAAAGTGACAAATCCGCTGTCATTTGTTTCCAAACTGCTCAGTCCGCCCCAACTCCTTTCCTTTTTCTGTTAGCAGCCACTTTGCTTTGGAGATCTATAACCTTCTGAATTTTTTTTTCATCATTCTTATTTAAATGTTTCCTTGAAATTTTCTTGAATGTTGCTTCTGCATATGCAGAGCTCTTACTTCAGAGACAGCATCATTGCAGAAATGGGAGTGTATACTCTTTGTGCTTTCCACTAGCTGTCTTGCAAAGTAGTTTTTGTTTTGGTTTTTACTGCAGATAAAAGAAGCCAATTTTTGGGGATCTAACTTTGTCATGAGTGGTTCAGACTGTGGCCATATTTTTATATGGGATCGACATACTGCTGAACATCTCATGCTGCTGGAAGCTGATAATCATGTGGTGAACTGTCTTCAGCCTCATCCCTTTGACCCAAGTAAGATGATCTCTTTTCACAGTCTGCATGTTCAGGTTGTCTGTGGTAAAGCATTTTAAAGCTCAGTCTTAAATTCTTTGTTCAATAGAGCATTGTGATAATTAATAAACTGTTGTTCATTTTTTTCCCCTATATAAATTAGATAATACTGCTTTTAATCTTGTCTATTACTGATGACCTTTGGCCCTTAAAACCCTCCTTACTCAATAAAGTCTTGGAATGAAACATTACTGACATAGTATTTATAGCAAGCTAAAGTGTAATAAGAAGAACCTCCATTTCTTGCTCGCCTCAATATATTAAATGTTTTCCGTGACTCTTATGACGGAAATATGGGGTCATTGAAATGCCAGCAAAACTTTGGGAATTGATATTGGAATCTGGTCACTCCTTGGCTCTTAAAAAAATTGAGTGAAGGGGGTGTCTCAGTCTTCCTGGCTTTGTGAGGTTAGAAGAAAGAACAAAATTCATAGAAAATCTGTTAATTTGTATTTAGGGGAAAATATTAATAGCAAAGATGGACCAAAGTAGTAGGAGGAGTCATATGTCCTCTGACATGTAGATGGAAAATCTGAACCGTTCTGCTGCTTCTGACCCAGTCAAAGAAAGTATTTGTGTTATTTCTTTTATGATAGCTTGCATGGCTGTAGAGTAACAGTCAGCTATAAATAAATAAACAAATAAGTTTGTTATAATAGTGCCAGAAGAAGCTGTGTTTTTTCTGGACAGTCTGGGGAAGTGTGGAATACTGCCCTGGATAAGCCCTGAACTTCTAAATGCTTTATTGAAATTGTGTTCCTGTACATGTTCGGAGTGTGTGGCTAGGTCGGACACTTCTTTTGGAAGCACCTTTCAAAATGCCCCATAGCATTACTGATTTCTTGGAGTGTCTCTCTCCCTGGCACACACTGAAAATGTAAGGAAGAAGTCATCCTCCTTATAGGACAGTTTTCGTCTTGTATGGTTTCCCAGTTAAGTCATTCCATCAATGACTCAGGCAGTGGGATTGAACACACCCTCAGCAAGCTGAGAGGTGCGGTTGACATGCTGGAGGGAAGGGATGCCATCCAGAGGGACCTGGACGAGTTCGAGAAGTGGGTCCATGTCACCCTCATGAGGTTCAGTGTGGCCAAATGTGCAGGGTCCTGCATGTGGTTTGGGGCAACCCCCCATATCAATACAGGCTTGGGGGATGCAGGGAGGATAGAGAGCAGCCCTGAGGAG